AAGTAAAAGCACACGTTATATGACTCTGATAATAGTGGACAACAATATTTCCAGTGAATGTGTAAAAAAAAGCAAAAAGTTATCGCATGAAGAGGGCCTAATTTTATGGTTCGCGTCGTGAAATTTTTACCAGTTTTTAAAAACGTCACGGAACTTTTCAAATCTTGAAAACATGTCTCAAAACAACCAATTGAACACATACACACACACACACATGCATACATACATATATACATACATACATATATACATACATGCATATATACATACATACATGCATACGTCTATATTCTGTTTATTTCCACAGCAAATATTCTTTATGGCAAATGTTATTAAAGACAGCAGAATCATTTTTACCGATTGATTTTTCCAAATTACGATTAATCCTTCTCAGACAACGATCAGATTCCGTCAGAAATTGTCCAAAGTTTATTTCGGCTAAAAAAATTACAAGAGATATGGTACAAGATTCCGATTTTTGAACTCATCATCAGGGTTGGTAGAGACAAATGAAGAATTTTGTAGCACTAGCGAGTGTTGTGACGTAAGGCATGTTTATATATATATATATATATATATATATATATATATATTTTAAGTTATAATTGCTTTTATTAATTGATTCTTTGTTATTATTGTACGCTTCAATGATCCTATATTCATTTTTACTATTTTATTTTGCTAGCGTTTCAGTATTATTTTTCAGTAGGTGTTTAATGTTTCTATGATCCTTATGCTGCTTATTAATGTGTTGGTTGTTAGAGCTCTGTTCCGATAGATGGCAGGACGTAATGAACAATTTCTGACGGAATTCTCTGTTATATTTTAATCCCACTTCATCTTTAGACCTTCCTGTTCTTCTCTCATCTGTTACCCCTCCCTATAGCTTTCATTTACTCTAACATGCGTCACACATTCTCATACATACACTCACTAATTTTTATTTTTTGTTCCCGGAGTTGTTTTTTCTGTTTTCTTTTTGCATTTGTAGGTCCGATGAATTGGATCGTATTTACGATTCCAAAGGAATAAATTATGACATGGAATATTAGTGTTTAAGCCTTTTCATATATATATATATATATATATATATATATATATATATATATATATATATATATATATATATATATTTTTCGAGCGCGCAGTCAGTTTCCACGTAATCATCAAGTTGGTCACTACCCACTTGAAATTTGATTAAAGTTATATATATATATATATATATATATATATATATATATATATAAAAAGCTCTGCCATTTTGATGCCATTGATCAATCTTTTTTTCAGTGTGCAAACTTGGGCAGACTCTTTTGAGAGCTGCTTATTCGTATCTCTAACGCACACACACATACATGCATATATACAAATATATATATACACACATTCATATATATAATGATTTTCCAAGCGTAGCTTAGATGTGGCACAAGGCCGAAAGTATGGGGCACCCAGTGAGGATCGAACTCACTACTCAGTCGTAATTGTTCTAGCAAGACAAGCTTCCTAACCATTACACCACTTTAACACAATTTAATTTTAATAATTATATTGAGGTTTTCGGCTCTGGTGTTTGAAACATGAAGACTCTTATGTAGCGAAGGAATCATATTTTAAAAAAAAAATAATTATAATATATATATATATATATATATATATATAGATATATAATTTCAGATATAAGCCCACACCACATATATACAAAAACACATATATATATATTCATTTGCAAATATTCATACTGATCACTAACGTCATCAGTTCATATATATATATATATATATATATATATATATATATATATATATATATAAGAAGGAATATAGTCTTAAGATGTGCTATATTTATGGGATAAATTATCAATATCAGAGGTAGAGCGTGTGTAAATATAAATACGAACATAGAAGTCAACACTTAGAGGCGACAGTCTGTTTCATGCTAGATGCAATCGTCAGGCCTATATTCACTTTTATATATATATATATATATATATATATATATATATATATATTAAAAAGACATTTTTATGTTTAACGTTGTTTTTTTTTATAGATACAAGTATTTAAGTAAATACTCTGTTTATGATAAACAGTATTTAAATAACATTTACCGACCTGAATGTCCAAAAAAAAAAATTATATATATATATATATATATATATATATTTTTCTTTTTGTGCTAGACAGTATTATTTCCAGTCAGTATATTCATTATTAAATACTTATATATCATATAATTCAGCTGAGATTTTATTATATATATATATATATATATATATATATATATATATATATATATATAATATATATATATATTAAAAATATTAAAATACCATGCTCATTTGACACGTTGGTGGTTCTGAATCTCACAACTTTCTTTTCTTCCTTATCTACAATTTAGCATTCAAAATAGTCGTCATCCTATAATGGCGGCCCATCAAGGCCCAGTCTATTCTACTATTTAACCCATAGCACATCAAGAGATGGGTCCATGTCTTTCTTAAGGGTTTTATTGCGAAAGTAAATCCAACTTAGTAGATCAGAACATCCTTATTAATGTTACTGAGAATAATTTTTATGTAAACCAAGTAATTGAACAGTATGTTTCTAGTTTAGCGTTTCATTTCTAAGATGAGTAATCTACCCATTCGCCGCAACTCGAAAAATAGACAAATATTTAAGTAACTGTGCTGTTTATAATAAACAGTATTAACAACATAAAAAGAACGTATAAATATGAAAAAAATGTCTTAAAATAATTGTCAACTTTGTCCATTCTATAATGTGGTACGTCATTTGTTTACATTTGGGTAGGCCTCGAGGAGATATGAATGAAAATCATGGAGAATTGTAGTTTAAAAACAGTAAAATCGACATTGCTAGCCGAAACTTTCCTCTGTGGCTAAGTCGGTAAAGCACGTTAGGCTATATGACGTTTCCGTATAGGATACAGGTTCGATTCCTGTCGGAGGACGCGTATTTTCTATGAAAATTTCTCAGACATTTCAGGCCGGTAAATGTCGTTAATATTGTTTATTATAAACAGAGCATTTACTTAAATATTTGTATCTATAAAAAGAACGTATAAACATAAAAAATATCTTAAAATATTTTTATATATAAGTGTTTGTCGCCTTATTTGTACCCAACAGCAATATACTACGCCTTCTGATAATTGTGACATTAACAGGAGCTATCACCGTATGTCAGGGCAGAACTAGGAACAACAGCTATTAAGATGTGGTCCGACGCTCTTCAGAACCTCCAGTCTCCCGATTAGAAGTCTTGCTGCCGGATGTAATTTATCGTTATACCCAGGAACATCAAGGAGGATCGACCTGACTATTACTATAATTCATCTCGAGAAAGCGCCATGAATTTAGCCAGTATTTACAGATCTTCTACTAGTGAAATTTCTGAAATCTTGCAGAAAAGAGATTTGTTAAACGTACACAAAGTACTTGAGTTCTGAACATATTCAATGTTATTATGGAACTCAAGAAAAATTTAAAACTTCATGATCAATTTGTCCATTAGGCTCCCACCATAGCTGCAATTATCTCAATTACACTGTACACGGACATCACTCAAGTAGTCAGACTCATAGACCTAACTGACTGCTTTAAAATGTCTTAATAGGTTGTGCTGGAATAAATCCAGAAAGCGTCCTTGTCTATGGATCAACCTATTAATTACGTTGCTTCCGTGGCTGTCGTTAAAATTGTAACGACTTTTATTGATAAAGCAAAGAACGAAATCTCGGCAAAAATACCCAAGAGGGGTTAAATAAATGGGGAAACTGAAAAGGTAACTTTAGCTGCTTTTTGACATTGATGAAATATCCTTCTTCATTTTAAATAATGAAAAGTGAATTAGCGGACTTGAGTATTATAAAAATTTTAGAAAATATTGAAAAAATTCTACTTAATTATTGACACAATTTACATTGTTCGGACTATTGTCCTCATCTTCATTGCCATATTCACGACATTTAGACCGTTTTATGCTCCGGCCTTCTTCTATATCTGTCTATATTTCTAAGATGAGTTATTGTAATTATTTACACTATTTACATTGTTCGGGCTGTTGTCCTCATCTTCGTTGCCATATTCACGACGTTTAGACCGTTGTACGCTCCGGCCTTCTTCTATATCTGTCTATATTTCTAAGATGAGGTATTGTAATTATTTACACTATTTACATTGTTCGGGCTGTTGTCCTCATCTTCGTTGCCATATTCACGACGTTTAGACCGTTGTACGCTACGGCCTTCTTCTATATCTGTCTGTATTTCTGAGATGAGGTATTGTAATTATTTACATTGTTCAGACTGTTGTCCTCATCTTCCTTGCCATATTTACGACGTTTAGACCGTTTTTCGCTACGGCCTTCTTCTATATCTTACTTATTATAAAACCCAGGTTGTGTTTGTGTGTGTCTGTTCGTTTATATTTGGGATCGGATTTCCTACATTTTTCAACCGATTTCAACAAAACTTCACAGGACTACGTAAAATTACCCGGCTGTGGTTCTGACAGCGCAAAAATTGGAAAAACACAAATTGTTTTTGCACGAAATCAATTTGAAAGCACGGGTAAGTGCCATTTATGCAGATTTTTCGCAGTCTTTGGACGATGTTTTGTTACCGAGCCACAAAACAAAGCAAATTTATTATTGTTGCCCGTGTGCACGATCTTACTTTTTTAGCTTACTTCGGACACCGCAAGTTGTTGATTACGTGTTCTAGCTGCTTTTTGTTTTATAGTTCCAACCCCACCCCGTTAATAATTGTACTAAAAAACCCATTTCCTTTTGGATTTACCCTTGGTTTACCTTTTTAAATTTCCACTTTTTTTAGTTTCGAGTTCCCTTTTAGTAACATCTGAACTCATTTTACTGGGTGTTTCCCTTTTGTGTCTACGTTAGCACTGCGTTTTTCGTTTTGGATTTATCGGAATCTCTTTTAAGCTTTTACCCTCTTTGACGTTTTTTACTGTTTGGATGCCACCTAAAAGGAGGAAACTTTTGGGACGGCACACGGCAGCTGCCTCCGCTGCTAGAGCAGCGAGGGCGAGTGAAACCCCTGAACAGACTTCTTTGCGTCTTTCACGGATGGCCTCGAGATCAGCTGCTCACTTATCTGCGCGGACTGAAAGTTTGGCTTCAGCGGCTTCAACCATGTCCGCACGCCGCGCCAGGCTTTCAGTTGAAGAACGTTCATTTCAGAATTCACAGGATGCAGTCCGCGTGGCTAGGTTGAGGGGTTCACAGTCCCCAGCACAGAAAACCCTTCGTCGTTTGCGGGATGCCACCGCCAAACCTTGCTCTAGGGGTTTAGAAAGCCCCGAATAAACAACTTCACGTCGTCTTAGGAATGCTAGGGCTACAGCCGCCTCTTGAGCTTCGGAACAACCCCAAGAAACCGCTCATCGTCAATGTAGAATTGCCCTATCCACCGCGTCTTCCAGAGCCTTAGAAAGCCCTGCACAAACCCCTGTTCGTCGCGTTAGAAATGCCCGCTCTACTGCGTCTGTCAGGGCTGCAGAAAACTCTGAAGTACGCTGTCATTGGCTCGAAAACATTAGCCAACTTCAAGCTTCTTTGAATGGCGTAACTTCGCCGTCTGCGTCATTTTGGTCAAATGCCGCATACAATTATGAATGCACTGTCAACTATTCCGCTAGGAGAGACGTACAAATAGGGGCCATGGATAAAGTTTGCACTTTTTGCAACGCAAAAAATTGGGCCGGTGAGCAACCTGGGCTTTGTTGCTCTGGGGACAAAATCAAACTCCCTTCTTTAGACGAATCCCCACAGCCGCTTGGGGACCTCCTTCTGGGTACAACTTCAGAGTCAACGCATTTTCTTGAAGCAATACGGAAGTACAACTGTTGCTTCCAGATGACGTCTTTTGGTGCGAAATCTATTAGTGAGGGAGGATGGATGTCTACTTTCAAAGTGCAAGGCCAGATTTACCACTTAATGGGATTACTTTTGGCTGATCAGAGAGAGCCACCTCAGTTCCTACAAATTTACTTTCTTGCTGACTACAACGAGCAGGTTGATGCACGTCTCGGCATTCTGCCTAGTAATATTTCCGTCAGTCCCCGTAGAGACATTCTGTTCCGTCTACAAGACATGCTTCACGAAACTAACAATTACATCCGAAGCTTAAAGTTTGCGTTGCAAAACAACTCTTTGCCCTCTTTCAGTGTTGTCATCGATGCAGACAGACGGCCTCACGGTGAGCATGAGCGTCGCTTCAATGCTCCTGCATGTAATGAAGTCGCCGCAGTCATCCACGGTAAGGAGCATAACAGCCGTGACATTGTCATAAGGTACCGGGGCGGTGGCCTGCGCCGCATCAGTGAAACCCACCGTTCATACGACTGTCTCCAGTACCCACTTCTTTTTCCATACGGAAGAGATGGGTACCACTTCAAAATCCCAATATACCAGGCAAGCAGCGATTCCATGTCGACCTCAAAGACGGTCTCCTGTAGGGCCTACATGTTTATGGTTAGGGAAGGTGAATTCAACCACTTGCTCAGGTGCCGTCAACTATTAGTTCAATTCGCTGTTGACATGGCTGCAAAAATGGAGTCGGAGAGGTTAGGATTCATCAAGTTAAACCAATCCAAACTTAGAACCGATTCCTACATTCACCTTCGTGATGGTCTGCGTTCTGATGGTGACCCACGCAATCTCGGCAAACCGTGCATTTTGCCTTCCCCTTACACTGGTGGCCCTCGATACATGTATGAAAGGACACAAGATGCAATGACCTATGTCCGTGATTACGGGAGGCCTGGTTGTTCGTCACGTTCACGTGCAATGCGAAATGGTTTGAAATCACACGCGAACTTTTTCCACGTCAGCTGTACTCACACCGCCCTGACCTAATTGCCCGCGTTTTCCGGTTACAGCTGTGTAAGCTTATGGATTTAATCCTTAAAGGGCAAGTCATCGGACGCGTTAAGTGTCATATGAATACAGTGGAATGGCAGAAACGCGGTTTGCTTCATGCCCTGGCTCAACTATTAGGTTGACGTAAAGAAAATAGACGATTTTATTTCTGCTGAAATTCCGGATCCTGCGCTGGATCCTGCGCTCCACGAAATCATTAAAAACAATATGATACACAGCCCCCGTGGCGCAAATTATGAAAAAAAGGTCATGTTGGTCGAGCATTTCCACTTGCGCAAAGGTTACCCCGTAAGTTTATCTCAGAAACGCAGACTGCGACGGATGGTTACCCACTATATAAACGTAGAAGCCCCGCTGAGGACAGCAGAACTGTGACAGTTAAAGGGGCACACTCTGGACAATCGTTGGGTGGTGCCTTGTTGCCCGCTACTGTCCAAGACTTTTGGAGCCCACATAAACGTTGAATACTGCCACTCGGTTAAGTCAATAAAGTACATCTGCAAGTTACGTTAATAAAGGCAGAGATGCTGCCGTCTTCGGTATCCAGTGCGACAATTGCGTTGATGGGTGGCCGATTACGTGGCTGGACGCTTCCTCAGCAGTAGCAAGGCCTTTTGGCGAATTTTCGGATTCCCCATACACCAAAGGGCTCCAGCCATTGTGCAGCTTGCTGTTCACTTAGACAATGGACAGAGGATGTACTACACCGAACAAAACGCCCAGCAGGTTGCGGAAAACCCTAAAGACACAACCCTAACGGCTTTCTTTAAATTATACTCAACAGATGCTTTTGCCAAAACATTGATATACCCCCAAGTCCCGTCCTACTACGTGTGGTCAAAGAACCGGTGGGTTCGGCGAAAGGCTGGTGACCCTGTCGATGGTTATCCCGATGTAAGGTCTAACTCTTGCCTTGGACGCGTTTATACTGTGCCTCCCCTCCCCCAGCCAGCAGGAGTGCTTTTACCTCCGCCTTCTACTTCATGAAATTTCTGGGCCAACGAGTTTCACAGATATTCGAACTGTCAATGGCATAGAATGCCAGTCTTATAGAGAGGCATGCTTCCGTTTGAGATTGCTTGAAGATGACTCCCAATGGGATGCTGCCATGGCGGAGGGTGAACTTCTCAGAACGCCATCACGGCTTCGAACGCTGTTCGCCATTTTGCTTTTGCGATGCGAACTAAGCGATCCTCTGTCGCTCTGGCTAAAGTACAGAGAATCCATGTCAGAGGATGTGCTGTTCTTCGTTCAGCGTAACAGCCCAGGAGTTGAATGCGGTTTCACTGACTTCATATTCAACAGAGCGCTGGTGGCCCTAGAAGATGTTGTTTTCGAACTGGGAGATGCCTCTTTACAAACTTTACCACCACCGCTCAGAGACGGTTTTGACACTGTACCAAGTGAGTTATTGCGGGAAACATCCTACTCCATCGAGGGGCTGAACGCATACATTACCGAAAACGAGTCCAAACTTCTAAATGATCAGAGGGTTGCTTTCACTACCATAACAGACAGGGCAAACGGTTCCAGTGGAGGTATATACTTTTTAGATGCGCCCGGAGGAACTGGCAAAACTTTTGTTACTAACTTAGTCCTGGCAGAGGTACGGCGTCGTGGGGAGATCTCTATTGCGGTCGCATCTTCCGGGATTGCTGCAACGTTGCTACCGGGAGGTAGAACTGCTCATTCGGCTTTTAGGTTGACGCTTGATCTATGCCGGTCACAAACTCCTCTCTGCAACATAACAAAGAATTCGCCACGAGCTGAAGTTCTGCGGAGATGCAAACTTATAGTTTGGGATGAGTGCACGATGGCACACAATGGCGCACTTGAGGCACTTGACCGAAGTCTCCAAGACATCTGCGACTCCTCCGACCCCATGGATGGAGTAACTCTTCTCCTCGTTGGCGACTTTAGGCAGACTCTACCTGTTATTCCTAAAGGTACACGCGCTGACGCTGTCCGCGCCTGGCTGATGTCGTCTGCCATTTGGCGCCAAGTGGAGACACTTAAACTGAGCACGAACATGCGTGCCTACTTGAATGGGTACTCCAGACCCACTGACTTCGCACGGGACCTTCTTGCTCTTGGGGAGGGGAAAATGCCATCTGACACACAGGGTTTTGTGCAGATGGATTAGCTTGCCACAACTGTTGAATCACCGGATGAATTGAAGAATGCAGTCTTCTACAACCTATCCACTAATTTTGCCGATGCCGATTGGCTTGCTGGGAGGGCCATATTGGCACCGAAGAACGGTACAGTTGATTCCATCAACCTTAAACTGTTGGATTTCATTCCCGGGCAATGTCATGTTTATATGTCCATCGACAGAGCTTCCGATCTATCTCAAGTAACTGAGTATCCCATAGAAATTTTTAACTCCCTTAAGCCGTCCGGAGTCCCACTTCATATTCTTCGGCTCAAAGTTGGTGCCCCGATTATGCTAATCAGGAATTTGCTCCTACCTAAACAGTGCAACCGGACTCGCCTCATTATTAAATCCCTTTCTCCGGACCTGATTGAGGCGACCATTGCAACTGGCTGCGGCAAGTGTGAAGTCGTTCTGATTCCCAGGATGCATCTTCTGCCGTCGGACGCAAGCATACCAATCAACTTTTGTCGCTCACAATTTCCAGTGAAGCTTTGCTATGTCCATTAACAAATCACAAGGACAGACGCTTAGCATCGCAGGTCTGCATTTACGTGAGCAGTGCTTCTCTCACGGCCAACTTTACGTTGGGTGCTCACGAGTTGGGTCTAAGGACAGGGTTTTCATTTACTCTCCCAATAACTGTGCTAGAAACATAACCTACACGGAGGTCCTGTAGACAACCCGCCCGGTAGCGTTTAAGTGCTATGCACGCATAGGCAGTTCGATTGCCTGGCAATTATTTTGTGCGTCATATTGGTTTTAACGTTAGGTCGCCGTAGTCTCCACTTGCCATTACTAAGACATTTTTGTAAAGGTTATCCAGCTCTTTTGCTGCCTTCTGACTTCCATACCTTCACCCGCCATCGTCACGTTTGTTTGTACACTATGATAACCTCACCGCATTCAGTTGCAACACAAGCTGCTAGACACATGAAAACCGGCATTAGACATGATTGCTCCACTAAAGTTCCGGTTTCATTAACAGTTGATCGGAGCACCTGCAGTTCGTACCAGTGCATACAAGCACATTCACACTTGAGAAGCTTCGGAGTTCGTTTAATTGTCACAAAAGTCGAAGGCGTCTACGAAATTCAGGCTTCTGCTTCCATGTACACTTGACGGCTGCCATGGGTGAAACATGTCAGCCATACGGCTCTATTGTTTTGTTTTTAGTCGTGTAAAAAAAAACTAAAAACACACGCCAAGTACGGTGACCTCGGTCGGTTTTCAGCCGTGATGTTGACTGCGACTGAAGAGAAGGCACTTTTTCATTGCAATTGAGGCGATCGTCCGTACGGCGACCCCGGTCCAGTTCCATAAGCTCTCAGCCGTGATGTTGACTGCGATTGAAGAGATGGCACTTCTCCATTGCAATTGCTCGGCCTTACGGTTACCCCCGTTGCGGCTTTAAGGACTCTCAGCCGCGATGTAGATAGCAACAGATCAGAATAAAGGAAGTTATATCACAGAAATTTTCTTACCATGACACCCCGTCACTGTTCGCTCTTCTCTCGGTTTTACGGTTTTGCTTTGTGGTCGTGACAGCGCCGTCTTTTGGGCATAAGACGCGTCTTTTAGCTAGACAAGCTGTTTGTTTGTGATTGCGCACGGCACATACTTTATGTTTTCCCTTCAATCCCTTTGTATGTTGCAACTGAATCGTGGTTTCTTGACTACTTACCACAAGTGCTTCCAGTAATGCTTAACGGTCCAATTGGTTAAAGCAGTAACTGCTGCCAGCTTTTACTCACAGATGTCTTAGTAATGGCAAATGACTGATGCTAAAACGGCTTTCCGTTACTTCCTTCGATACCTTCGAATACTTGGGCCTGCATGATGTCTGCTTAAACTTTGTGTGCATTGCGTTTCAACGTTTTGTAGAAACTTAGTTCCTGTCGACTTACAAAGCACATCTTTCAAAGCAACAGCCGTCCCCAACTCTTACTGTTACATCCCCGGGCAAAATAGAAAATAAGAGTTACTAATATTAATGTCCAGCTATTTACTGCCATATAGGAGGATTGATATTACATAGAATTTCATCACTCTTTTCTTTGTTTCTAACGAAATCTTCCTGTTTCTTAATACTTTCTTTAGCTTTTGGAAGACATGGGGAGATTGTCCAGCATTCACTGCCATATAGAAGGATTGATATTACATAGAAGTTCATCACTCTTTTCTTTCTTTCTAACGAAATCTTCCTGTTTCTTAATACTTTGTTTATCTTTTGGAAGACATGAGGAGATTGTCCAGCATTCACTGCCATATAGGAGGATTGATATTACAGAGAAGTTCATCACTCTTTTCTTTGTTTCTAACGAAATCTTCCTGTTTCTTAATACTTTGTTTAGCTTTTGGAAGACATGAGGAGATTGTCCAGCATTCACTGCCATATAGGAGGATTGATATTACATAGAAGTTCATCACTCTTTTCTTTCTTTCTAACGAAATCTTTCTGTTTCTTAATACTTTCTTTAGCTTTTGGAAGACATGGGGAGATTGTCCAGCATTCACTGCCATATAGGAGGATTGATATTACATAGAAGTTCATCACTGTTTTCATTCTTTCTAACGAAATCTTCCTGTTTCTTAATACTTTGTTTATCTTTTGGAAGATATGAGGAGATTGTCCAGCATTCACTGCCATATAGGAGGATTGATATTACATAGAAGTTCATCACTCTTTTCTTTGTTTCTAACGAAATCTTCCTGTTTCTTAATACTTTGTTTATCTTTTGGAAGATATGAGGAGATTGTCCAGCATTCACTGCCATATAGGAGGATTGATATTACATAGAAGTTCATCACTCTTTTCTTTCTTTCTAACGAAATCTTCCTGTTTCTTAATACTTTGTTTAGCTTTTGGAAGATATGAGGAGATTGTCCAGCATTCACTGCCATATAGGAGGATTGATATTACATAGAAGTTCATCACTCTTTTCTTTCTTTCTAACGAAATCTTCCTGTTTCTTAATACTTTGTTTAGCTTTTGGAAGACATGAGGAGATTGTCCAGCATTCACTGCCATATAGGAGGATTGATATTACATAAGTTCATCACTCTTTTCTTTGTTTCTAACGAAATCTTCCTGTTTCTTAATACTTTGTTTAGCTTTTGGAAGATATGAGGAGATTGTCCAGCATTCACTGCCATATAGGAGGATTGATATTACATAGAAGTTCATTACTCTTTTCTTTGTTTCTAACGAAATCTTCCTGTTTCTTAATACTTTGTTTAGCTTTTGGAAGATATGAGGAGATTGTCCAGCATTCACTGCCATATAGGAGGATTGATATTACATAGAAGTTCATCACTCTTTTCTTTCTTTCTAACGAAATCTTCCTGTTTCTGAATACATTGTTTAGCTTTTGAAAGACATGAGGAGATTGTCCAGCATTCACTGCTATATAGGAGGATTGATATTATATAGAAGTTTTTATGGTCCGGTTCCTTGTACCACGGTGATAGTCCAAGGTAGGACCAATAAAGAAGAACTCGAACACGGATATGGAATAACACAGATATATTACAAACAGGAATATATACAGAGAAGTAGAAAGTGTTAGTCCGAACAATCAGGATTAGTAGAGAGAACAATGTAGTCTCGACCAGTATCACTATTCCAATGTCTTGCAGTAATTGTCTGAACGCGACTCTGTTTCGAACTGCCTATGACTTGACTGACTGACTCGCTCTGACTGACTGACAGACTTCTGACGGACTTCACTCCAGACTTCAGACTGAACAGTATTTAGTCACCCCCACACGACGGCATCATGTGGCACAAGGCAGGTTTAACGTGGGATCTCCGATCCCGTGGGCTCTGCCAAAAATATGCCCTTTGAACCCGTATAAACGAATTCAGGGTCGGTTTTCCTCCCCGAAAGAGACTCCACCCTTCGGCGTAGCCGCGTTCGTGTTCCTTCTCGCCCGAAGGCAGAGAGTTCAACCGATCAGCCGGTCAGCCGGTCGTCCGACTTCAGACTGAACTCTCTGCTTCCTCTTGAGGCGCACTATTTATTACGTATGGAATAGTCCATTATGGTATTATGGGTAAGGTCCCATAATACCCCCCTTCCGAAAATTTTGCGTAGCAGCATTTTTTTTACTATCTTTTTTTCTTTGGATCTATTTCCAAAGGTTCATTAAATTTCCTTTTTCTAGACGATTTTCTTGTTTCTGGCATTGTTTGCGGTCTTGTTATATCGAATGTGTCGAAAATCGTGTCCAATACCTTTTTTTGAGGCGGCGAGCAGTTCCCCGTTGCAGACGCCTGATCAGGCGTATGTATGTTTGGTTTGGCTTGGTTTATTTTACGGCATATCAACCTTGAAATTTGATTTAAACATGTATCAATATGGTGATTTCCTTTCGACTTTCAATGATAATGTTATTAAGCTTATCAGACAATATGAAAGGAACTTACCTAAAATAAATAGACAAAACGTGTCTATATTATTTAATGAAACATGAATTAATATATATATATATATATATATATATATATATATATATATATATACAAACTTATACGAACACAAGAAAAATTAAATAAACCGTTTAATCACAGAAGTGTGTCAGTCGTATCGTATTTAGTGAAACTTGTGTAAAAGAGGATTGCTACCCAAATACAAATTTTTATATATATATATATATATATATATATATATATATATATATATATATATATTATCATTTATATATATGATGGAAAAAAATATACAATAAGCAAATTGTAAAAGTATATGTGTTTCATCGAAAATAATGGAAGGAAATATTTGCATGGCTCGGAAAAATAAAATGTCGTGATTTGAAATGTTTTTAATGGCAATATTTTTTTAATTATTCACTGATCGGTATGTCGTCTGCTTCCGATTAAAACTACTCAAGAGGAAATAATATGGAAAGTTCTGACGAACTGCGGATAGAATTTAAAGAAAGAAATACTTAAAAAGCCAGCAACATATTGTCGACATTGAATGACCAAGATCTCGTTACTAGATATGAATGAAAGATGTCTTATCGATGTATAAAAATTAAAATAGAGATATTTTTTTCTTCTGTGCATTTTAGTCTGATCTCTGTAATATTATTTTTGGTTTGCTTTCATATGGATTCTACGAACGAGCTAAAGCATTTTTCTGTATAATGGGCCCGGGAATCTGTGTTCATTTTGTCAATAACTTGTTCTTTATTCAGTCATTGCCTTTATGACAATGACAGATTATTTAATAATAACTTTGAACTCAGACAGTGAAAAGTCCGGAGTAAAACAATCATAATTGAAAGAATATACTTAAAAACTCAGATGTTAAAACCAAATAATAATCCTAAGGGCATAACAAAACATGGGATCATATTAATTGCATGAGTTAACGAGTATGAAGATAAGATTCTTGTGGACATAAAGTGGAGGAGCAGTTTTCTATTATTTTAAAGTAATAAACTGACCCCCCCAAGAATTACTACATATTAATATAATAACTGGAAAATATATATTGAAAGGCTCATATGTGAAAAGCTAATAATAGTAAAGACTTAACAGAATATGGCATCATCTTGATGGCATGGGTCAACGAGTATGAAGATGCTAATGGACATAAAGTGGGGGATCGGTTTCATATTATTTTAAAGTAATAAACTGATCCCCCCAACAATTAATACATATTAATATAATAATTGGAAAAATATATTGAAAGGATCACATGTGAAAAGCTAATAATAGTAAAGACTTAAGAAAATATTGCATCATCTTGATGGCATGGGTCAACGAGTAGGAAGATAAGATTCTAATGGACATAAAGTGGGGGATCGGTTTTCTATTATTTTAAAGTAATAAACTGATCCCCCCTCCCGAGAATTACTACATATTAATATAATAATAGGAAAGACTTAACAAAATGTAGCATCATCTTGATGGCAAGGATCAACGAGTATGAAGATAAGATTCTAATGGACATAAAGTTGGGGATTTGTTTTCTATTATTTTAAAGTAATAAACTGATCCCCCAATCAAGAATTACGACATATTAATATAATAAATATTAGAAAGCTTACATATGAAACCTTACTAAAAACAAAACTAATTTAAAAAATACACACACATTTTACAGCATGAGTATATTACGTAAAAGAAAATAAGGAGGAAACTTTAACAAATCGGTAGGATGAATTTCTTGTTTCTTTTCGTTTACAAGAGGGTTGCAACATTTTGCATTCAAAAATTAAGCGATGATAAAGAAATCTCTAATGTTAAAGGAAGGAAGCAGTGGAAAATAACTTCCGTTTCCTGATCATAATTACATTCTAAAATTATTTTCTATCTATTTATTTCTAACAAAAAAAAAAAAAAAAGAAGAAAATTGACACTTAAATTCCTGTCTCCTCCAGCGTTGCTTGAAGTTATAAATCCATTCGGAATCGATACCAAAATGAATCGGGCTTTGTATTTGATTTCAAAGGGTCAATTTCGACAGTTTCTTTCAAAAGCTGACATACGAAACGTCTTCCTAAGGGCATAAACTTCATTTTTCGTTTTTTGTTTCTTTTTCTTTCTAAAGACTGATCTGACTTAATTTATCGACTATTCTTCACTGTACACGAAAATGAATAAAAAAAATGTTTTACCTTTAATTCCTTTGCATATTTCCCTCCTGTTTTCGCTGCCAGATATCGCCAAAGGCATTTCCAAAAGATTAAATCCCACTGCAGCTTTAAGCTATCATTTATAAAACTCAGCTGTTTTCTTCAGTTTTGTCTGACTCGTACTACTGTGTTTGTGAATGTTCTGTGCCTCTTCAGGGTGTAGGCGATCATCGCCCTTCACATCTTCCTGTTACTTGTAACTCTTAATAAGTTTTGTTTTTTTGTTACTTCTTCCAGACCATGTTTTGCCATCCATTTGCTCAAGCCTATCAATTATATTACACACTGCTTTCATCTGTTCCTCTTACATTCTATTTACCCTGTGAGTGTCAGATTTTCGAAGCCCTCCTTCCTCATTAGGTGACCTAGAAATTTCAACTACTTCTTCCTCTTATGCTTAGAAAAATCTCCATGCTTACAATAAAGTTTCTTAGACATAATCAGGAAAGAGACCTTGGAGAATTTGATACTCATTTGGAGGCAAGTTGAACATAGACAAATAGCGAATATTCTGCTTAACAAGCTTTCTTTCTTTCTTTCTTTCTTTCTTTCTTTCTTTTGTTCGTTTGTTCGTTTGTCTTTTTTTTGTCTACGCAAGCGAAACAGAATAGTGCAGTATTTACGAGGTATTGACAGGAGACGTTAAAAGCTTCTTTCTTTCTTTCTTTCTTTCTTTCTTTTTTTACTGAAACCAAATATTCTTTTCCCCTCTTCCCACGCGCTCAAAACGGAGTAGTCCATCTTTTGAACGTCTAAATAATATAAAGAAAACGAATTAATTAAACGGCTCATTGGCGTCTATTTTAGTAGTAGACTAGCAGCATAGCCCGGCGTTGCCCTTGCTTGATTCAAAAATCGTACGACTCATACAGCAATCACTATCACTTGACTTAAAATATTTTTGCCCTTCCTTGCCTTTAAAGGAGTGCCCTTTGCAGTGCTGATGTTGCTACTTACACTGCGAATGTTTTCTAAACATTAAATCTGTTACGAAAAAAGAACTAAACAAAATGAACACAAAACGATCAGCTTTAAAAAAGGACTCGTAACTGGAAAAAACGAATGAAAAAAGAATGTTAACAACAAATATTTTTTCACACCCAACCCAGTTCTGCGGAATCAGAATCAACGTTGGGTTTAAGCAAGCGAATGAGCCAATTGGAGTAAAGTGTCATGCAGATTTAAATTTTTCCCACTTGTGACGAATGCAGCTATCGATTTTTTTGCATGCTAGTTAACATTCGTGTCAGTCAGCTGTTGGCTCTCACGCTGGCCAATAGAATCTTCCTGCCTATTCGTAGCAGCCAACTATAGGCTCTCACTCTGGCCAGTAGAAAATGGCCGCAAACTACATGAAAACTACCGTAGAAACATGAAAAAATCGATAATTTCCACTATCGATGGGAGTTGGGAAATGAAAAGTCGATCTTGGCCTTCCCGCTAACTTGGAGCATGTGCATGTAAACTTCGGTGCAAATCAGTCGAAAATTGCGGCCGTGCATTCGTTACACACACACACACACACACACACACATCTTAGCTTTTATAAATTAGAGATTCTGAAGCCACGCATTATTGAATCGCAAAACATTGTCTCATTGGACTGTAACTATTAAAACTTTCTTTCGATTTCTTGCATGGAATACTGCTGCCATATATGGTCTGGTGCCCCCACTGTTTATCTCGAGGTCTTCGACAAAATCCAGAGACGGATATGCAATGTGGTTGGTCTTGATCTGGTTGGTCTTCCGTCGCTATCTCACTGACATGCTGTGGCTTCCCTCTGTCTGAAACGCTGAAACCAAGTATTGTTTCACCCTCTTCCCACGCGTTCAAAACGGAATAGTCCATTATTTATGAGGTATTGGCTTGAGACATTAAACACTTCTTTCTTTCTTTATTTCTTTCTTTCTTTCTTTCTTTCGTTGAAACCAAGTATTGTTTCACCCTCTTTCCACGCGTTCAAAACGGAATAGTCCATTATTTATGAGGTATTGGCTTGAGACATTAAACACTTCTTTCTTTCTTTCTTTCTTTCTTTCTTTCTTTCTTTCTTTCTTTCTTTCTTTCTTTCTTTCTTTTTCCCACTGAAAAACCAATAGTTCATTGTTTCACCCTCTTCCCTTTCTTTCGTTCAACAGGGAATAATCCATTATTTATGAGGTATTGGCTTGAGACATTAATCACTTCTTTCTTTCTTTTTTCCTTTCTTTCTTTTCTTTCTTTCTTTCTTTCTTTCTTTCTTTCTTTCTTTCTTTCTTTTGCTGAAACCAAGTATTGTTTCACCCTCTTCCCACGCGTTCAAAACGGAATAGTCCATTATTTATGACAGGCGAGCCATATTTTTTCCCGCAGTAGGTAGCCATTAGTTCAGAGAATATACAAAAATAGAAAGGTCAAGGACGCGTCTTCTCACACGGCCTGTTCAACCTATAGAGCGACATTGTCCTGAGAGAATTGAAAACTCTACCGGTCATTGGCGTTCTCAATCTTAGCAACATAATATACACAGATGACAGAGTACTGATAACAGACACTGAAGAGAAATTACAAAATCCCCTACAGAAGGTAGCGAAAGAGAGCGAGAAGAAAGGACTAAGCATAAACCAAAAGAAAAAATAATGCATGATCATCAGTAAAAGGATGAGACCAAAATGCGATTTGCAGGTCGGAGACATTAAAATGAAACAATACCCATGAAACTCCTATACCATTACACATGTAGGGGACTGCGCGTTCAATCATCAAGTAATTCCATTTGTTATTGAAGAAAAATATTTGGCAATGGCTATACCCCTCCCTGTAGCTTTCATTTACTCTAACATTTGTCTCACACTCTCATACATACACTCTCATTAAATTTTATTTTTTATTCCCATTGTTTTTTTCTGTTTTCTTTTTGAATTTGTAGGTCTGAAGAATTAGATCATATTTACGATTCCAATGGATTAAATTATGACCATGGAATATTAGTGTTTAAGCCTTTTTATTATATCCTTACTCTGTCCTGGACATTGAGTTCTACCTGGATTCTATCCTCTTGGATTTATTTTTTATACAAATATATATGTATGCGTATGTATGTATGTATATATATTTATATATATTTTAGATATATGATTGCATATGTATGTGTATATTATTTACCATATATATATATATATATATATATATATATATATATATATATATATATATATATATAAATGGACAAAGTCCGACAATTATTTTAAAGACATTTTTATGTTTATACGCTCTTTTTATAGATACAAATATTTAAATAAGTTCAGGCCGGTAAATGTTGTTTAATACTGTTTATTATAAACAGAGCATTTACTTAAATATTTGTTTCTATAAAAAGAATGTATAAACATATAAACATAAAATATATATATATATATATATATATATATATATATATATATATATATATATATATATATAATGTATGTATAAACATAAAATGTCTTCATATATATATATATATATATATTAATGTATGTATATATATATGTATGTATGTATGTATGTATGTATGTATGTAAAATAGAGTAGAAAAGTCGGTCATTATAACAGAGACAAACGAAAGGGTACCGATGTAATCAGTACGAAAAACATTCATCAATATTGACCAGGTGACAAGAATGAAGCACAAAGATTGCGGTTCCATGTTCGGAATTTTCGGACACGCCTGTGTTCTTTATCAGCGGATGCGAGAAATAAACAGAGGGACGATGGAGGCTATCCAACATTAGTTCTTGAGGCTGGGTAGAGTCCGCTTAAAAGTGAAATTGTTAGAAAAAATCCGTTCCCTGTTTGAGAAATAACTTTAGATTTAAAAATTGTGATTGGTGGAGGGTGGGAAGAGAGTGAGATGTTGAATATAGAAGAAATAGGGCTATGGGACCGGGGGTGGGGATGATATTAGTGTTGAAAGATTTTGTGAGTTAGATTAATAAAATGTTTTTGTACTGATTACATCGATGCCCTTTCGTTGACTTTGTTTTATTGACCAACTTATCTACTCTATAAACTATATGAAACACACACGGACTCTGATCTAATTATATATACATATATACATCCTTAAATGTCTATAATTGGTAACAGAAGCCATTGATTTATACCAACGGCTTCCCATACATAATGCTTCTCGAATTCACTCTTGCGTGGTCATGTGTGACGTCATGAGCTGCGGTGCGATTTTCGCTTCCAGCGTCTTATATGCACGTATTTATCGATACTTGGAAATCATTCATGTAAACAGAAACGAACTATCATCACATTCTTGTCCGTGTATTGCTTAATATATTGTACTGTAATTGTCATCTTTGATAATGGCCTATGTACGCTAAAAGCTTTGATTGGATTAAAAAATATGGATCAATATTGTGATTTTCTTTCTTCGTTTAATGACAATGTTATTAAGCTTATCAGACGTTATGAAAAGAATTTACATAAAATAAATAGACAACACGTGTCCATATTATTTAATGAAACATGCATGAGTATATATATATAGATAAATATGCAGTTATATATTGTCATCCAAAGACATACTATTTCGCTGTATCACAGCTCATCAGTGTGGCTAGACATCCAGTTGCCTCTAGCTAGGATCGAAACCCGGTTGAATTGGTGTGAGTCGAGGATTCTACCACTAAGCGTGTGGCGCACAACAGGGGCGAAAGTGAATTTAAGTGTATTTATTTTTTAGATAAACACACAGTGACTGAGAGAACTCAATTCGATTTACCGAAGAGTCTTGCATTATTAGCCGTAATAGTCACTGTTTACAAACCTACACTTTTGTAAATATATATTGTTAGATATATATATATATATATATATATATATATATAAATTTTTTTCACTTGTAGTTTCGATAGATATTCGAGGTAGTGTTTGTTATATCAAATTTATTTCTATATTGCATTCAATTATTTGATAAAAGTTGATGAGCTTTCTATTTTTTATTAAACACGCCATAATTTGGATATTGCAGAAGCTTCAAAATATTTTCTATTTATTTTTCATTTATTTTAATCATTTTTTTTATCCCTCATTTTATTCTGTTCTCTTATTATCCTTCCTTTTCTTTCTTTTTCATTTCCTTTATATTTTTTCTTTCTTTTTCTTTCTCATTTTTCTTTCCTTTTTCTTTTTCTTTTCATTTTCTTTTTGCTTTTTTTTCTTTTCTTTTCATTTTCTTGCTCATTTTCTTTCCTTTTTTTTTCTTTTCATTTTTTTTGCTCATTTTTTTTTTCCTTTTTTTCTTTTTTCTTTTTTCTTTTTTTTTTTTTCTCATTTTTTTTCCTTTTTCTTTTTTCTTTTTCTTTTCTTTTCTTTTCTTTTTCTTTTTTTCATTTTTCTTTCTCATTTTTCTTTTTCTTTTTTTTTTCTTTTCATTTTTTCTCTTTTTCTCATTTTTCTTTTTTCTTTTTTTTTTTTTTTTTTTTTTTTCTTTTTTTCTCTTTTTTCTTTTTCTTTCCTTTTTCTTTTTCTTTTCATTTTCTTTTTCTTTTCATTTTCTTGCTCATTTTTCTTTCCTTTTTCTTTTTCTTTTCATTTTCTTGCTCATTTTTCTTTCCTTTTTCTTTTTCTTTTCTTTTTCTTTCTCATTTTTCTTTCCTTTTTCTTTTTCTTTTCATTTTCTTGCTCATTTTTCTTTCCTTTTTCTTTTTCTTTTCTTTTTCTTTCTCATTTTTCTTTCCTTTTTCTTTTTCTTTTCATTTTTTTCTTTTCTTTCTCATTTTCTTTCCTTTTCTTTTCTTTTTTTTTTTCTTTTTTTTTCTTTTCTTTTCTTTTTCTTTTCATTTTTTTCTTTTTTCTTTTTCATTTTTCTTTTCTTTTTTCTCATTTTCTTTTCCTTTTTCTTTTTTTCTTTTTTTTTCTTTTCATTTTCTTTTCTTTTCATTTTCTTTTTTCTCATTTTTCTTTCCTTTTTCTTTTCTTTTTTTTTTTTTTTCTTTTCTTTTTCATTTTTCTTTTTCTTTTTTTTTCTTTCCTTTTCTTTTTCTTTTTTTTCTTTTTCTTTTCATTTCATTTTCTTTCTCATTTTTTCTTTCCTTTTTTTCTTTCTTTTTTTCTTTTCTTTTTCTCATTTTTGCTTTTTTCTTTTTCTTTTTCTTTTCATTTTCTTGCTCATTTTTCTTTCCTTTTTCTTTTTCTTTTCTTTTTCTTTCTCATTTTTCTTTCCTTTTTCTTTTTCTTTTCTTTTTCTTGCTCATTTTTCTTTCCTTTTTCTTTTTCTTTTCTTTTTCTTTCTCATTTTTCTTTCCTTTTTCTTTTTCTTTTCATTTTCTTTTTCTTTTCATTTTCTTGCTCATTTTTCTTTCCTTTTTCTTTTTCTTTTCATTTTTCTTTCTCATTTTTCTTTCCTTTTTCTTTTTCTTTTCATTTTCTTTTTTCTTTTTTTTTCTTTTCATTTTTCTTTCTCATTTTCTTTCCTTTTTTCTTTTTCTTTTCTTTTTCTTTCTCATTTTTCTTTCCTTTTTCTTTTTCTTTTCATTTTCTTTTTCTTTTCATTTTCTTTTTCTTTTTTTTTCTTTCCCATTTTCTATTCTTTTTCGCTTCTCTTATTCGTTTTCCTTCTGTTTCATTCTTTTCTTTTTCTTTTCCATTTTTCCTATTATTTTTTTACATTTTATTTTTCTTCTTTATCATCGATTTCATTTTTCTTACTTTTTCTTTTTCTTTGCTTTTTCAGTTCTAAATTCTATTTTCTTCTTTTTCATTTTTCTCATTATTTTTTCTTTTTTCCTATTTCCTTTTCTTTTCTTTTTCTATTTTTCTTTTCTTTCTATCTATTTTTCTTTCTATCTATCTATCTATTTTTCTATCTATTTTTCTTTCTATCTATCTATCTCAGTCATATCTATATCCTTCATATCTATCTATCGCAGTCATATCTATCTATCTATCTATCTATCTATCTATCTATCTATCTATCAGTTATTATCTATCTATCTATCTATCTATCTATCTATCTATCTATCTATCTATTACCGTCATTCTCTCCATGTATACATCTCTCTCTCTCTTTTCTCTATCTATCTATCTATCTATCTATCTCAGTCTGTTCATATCTCTCTCTCTCTCTTTCTTATATATATATATATATATATATATATATCAGTCATTTTCTATCTTTCCTTTTCTCTATCTATCTATCTATCTATTCACATCTCTTCTATCAATTATCTATCTATCACCCTCATAGCTATCCATCTTTTTCATCTCTCTCTCTCTCTCTCTATCTATCTATCTATCTATCTATTGCAGTCTGTTCAGATCTATCTATCTATCTATCTATCTCCGTCTCTTCCTTATCTACCTATCTTGGTCTGTTCTTATCTCTCTCTCTCTCTATCTCTCTCTCTCTCTCTCTATCTATCTATCTATCTATCTATCTATCTATCTATACGTATGCATGCATGTATTTATATGTTCGCCTTTTATTATTTTCAGCAATTGATTACTGATAAATTGACAAAATTTGAAAGAGTTTTGCATGGAACACACGATAAATTGACACTCTCTTCAGCCCTCTACCAACATCATCCAATTCTTAAATCCGTGGAACTTTGCCAAAATTCCTATGCCGATAAGAGGTCGCGCCTTCTTATATCGCAGATGAACATCTCCGTTGGCCGACATAAAAACTGCAGCTCAAAAGGTTTCGTTACGCAGCGATTAAATTTGGCATGATAAACATACTGAGATCGCCATTACACTCATCGTAGCTGAAGTCTCCTCGAAATATCAAGACTTACACCTTGAACAGATATTGAGAAACCAAACAATTCCTATAAAACTCCTTTTTTTTTTTACACATGTTTTTTTTCTTTCTGCGTGTTCAGTCACCAAGTCATCCATTTGTTATGGAAGAAAAATATTTGGCAATTTACTCTATTTATTATGGATAATTGTCAATCTATTCAAACATTATAAAAGGATGAATAATAAGGATTTCATTAAAGTTGATTCAAATATTTTAATAATTTACTAAATGTTTATAAGTTATATATATAAATTTACATCAATACGATTTCTTGTACCGCCTTCATGTTATAATGTTGTAGCATACCTGCTGACGATAATGTGTATGTCCCCATTCACATAAATACAGTAGTAAATACTGTATGTTGGTCTACAGTTAGACATTCGTCTCCAGCTGTGCTGGTTAGACTCTCTGCTTCTGGACAGATGATTCCCCGACGAGGCTATTTCTTTTTTTTCAGAGTCTAGTCTTGGGAAACAGCTTTTTCTTTTTTTTGTTTTATACAGGGGACAACGAAATTTTGCCCTTTTCTTACGAGCTTTTCTTACACCCCCCATTAAATTCGGCCTTGTGCCACATCTAACCATGTGGGGCGGTCGGTAGATATCCTGCAGTTGGAGATTTATTGTGGAATTGACTTGACTCACTTCTAGCAGTCAACTATATCTTCTACGTGCAGCTATATGTGTTGTTCTTGTCCTAAGTATTATCGTTCATTACCAAACTTCGTGTGATTATTCTATTCAGTAACATCTCCCTAGGTTACAAGATCTATCTATCTATCTATCTATCTATCTATCTATCTATCTATCTATCTATCTATCTATCTATGTCTGTTCGTATCTATTTATCTATGTATCTAACTATGTCACTTCATATCTGTCTATATATTTATGTCTGTTTATATCTATCTATCTATCTATCTATCTATCTATCTATCTATCTATCTATCTATCTATTACAGACTGTTCATATCTATCTATCTATCTATCTATCTATCTATGTCTGTTCATATCTGTCTATCTATCCATGTCTGTTCATATCTATCTATCTATCTATCTATCTATCTATCTATCTATCTATCTATCTATCTATGTCTGTTCGTATCTATTTATCTATGTATCTATGTCACTTCATATCTGTCTATATATTTATGTCTGTTTATATCTATCTATCTATCTATCTATCTATCTATCTATCTATCTATCTATTACACACTGTTCATATCTATCTATCTATCTATCTATCTATCTATCTATCTATCTATCTATGTCTGTTCATATCTGTCTATCTATCCATGTCTGTTCATATCTATCTATCTATCTATCTATCTATCTATCTATCTATCTATGTCTGTTCGTATCTATTTATCTATGTATCTATGTCACTTCATATCTGTCTATATATTTATGTCTGTTTATATCTATCTATCTATCTATCTATTACAGACTGTTCATATCTATCTATCTATCTATCTATCTATCTATCTATCTATTACAGACTGTTCATATCTATCTATCTATCCATCTATGTCTGTTCATATCTGTCTAGCAATCTATGTCTGTTCATATCTATCTATCTGTTGTAGCATACCTAAGGACGATAATGGATATGTCCCCATTCACATAAATACAGTAGTAAATACTGTATGTTGGTCTGCAGTTGGAAATTCATAGTGCAATTCACTTGACTCACTTCTAGCAGTTGACAACTTATTCTACGCGCCGCTGACGAATCTTATATGTGTTGTTCTTGTCCTAAGTATTATCGTTCATTACCAACATTCGTGTGATTATTCTATTCAGTAACATCTCCCTAGGTCACAATATATAAAACAGACAACTTATCTGAAAAACAAAAAAAAAAAAAATCATTTTCCCCTGATATTGCTTTTTTTTTGTTTTTAACTACTTTCACTCTTCGGCAATGTTTGTTTTAAAAAGCGATATTTTGAAATTTTTAGAGAAATATAAATATATGATGAAAGTAAATTTATACATTTTCTTGGTTCTTCAGAATTGACAACAAAATGATAGACACTATTGATTCATTAGCTTGCTTCAAATCTGTCTCCAATAAAATAATTGCTTGTCAGCCATTAGAATTAAAATCACACCAATAACATATTTCACTAACAAATAATCGAAAAATAATGCATATTAAATATGAATGCTGGTATGCATACATACATACAGACACGCGTGCAAACACACACACACACACACACACACATATATATTTATATATATATTGGAAAAGTTAATAAAAATTTCATTAATCTTCACCAAACTTGTCATTAACATAAATTATATATATATATATATATATATATATATATATATATATATATCCAAGTATATGATTGGTGTATACGGAATAAATTCAATAACCAACACTTGCTATTCTTAAAAAGAGTGCTCAATACAGAGTAGAGGGTATATAATTATTTATTTAAAAATTATAACATAAATATTTACGTAAAATGTGTATGCATATATATATATATATATATATATATATACAATTTTTATATATATTATTTATATATTATATATGCGCGGTACTTACTGGAAAACGCTCAATAACAGTGATAGAGCTAATATATTTAATCATACTTATTATAAAACCCAGGTTGTGTGTGTGTGTGTGTGTGTCTGTTCATTTATATATTGGATCGGATTTCCTACATTTTTCAACCGATTTCAACAAAACTTCACAGGACTACATAAAATTACTTTGCGGGGATTCTGACAGTGCCCAAAATTAGAAAAACACAATTGTTTTTGCATGAAATCAATTTGAAAACACGATTAAGAGGCATCGCTATCGCGAGAATGAAAGGGGGACAACTCATATCGAGTTATACTTATTATAAAACCCAGGTTGTTTGTGTGTGTATGTGTGTGTGTGTGTTCGTTTATATATGGGATCGGATTTCCTACATTTTTCAACCGATTTCAACAAAACTCTTTTTGGCAGGTCGTGTTTCTTATTGTCTTGCACACTTTTTTCTTTATTTTTACATTCAGAATGCTTTAAAAATTCCATTTACAAGACAATTGTTTATAATAAAATTCTATTCAATCGGTAGACTCATAACTATTGAAAACAATGTTTTTTTTTTTAGTTAGTTTGGGTTTGACCAATTCGTAAAAAAAAAAATAATTAAGCCATCTGTGTCGTCAACCTTAAACAATAATCTTTGTCAGTTTTATTTTTCAGTCTTTATGATGGTCGATACTTGATCTATCTCTTGCTGTTACATCCCAGGCAACGCCGGGCTCTACTGCTAGTCCAACTAATATGTGTATATATATATATATATATATATATATATATATATATATATATGTGTGTGTGTGTGTGTGTGTGTGTGTGCTCAAAAGAAATACTAGTCAAAACTCTTTAATTTTAGTAAATCAAATTTCTAAATATTCTGGGTGTTCTCAAAAACTGACATAATTTAAAATGTGAATATCTGAGTAACTACATCTCCCAGGCAAACGAAATTAAGAAGGCTTCATGTTGAATCTATTCAAAGAAATGTTGATTTTATAACCTATTCTACAAAGCTTCACAAATTTTCAATATGGGGACCACCTCTGACATGACACACGTCAAGTCGATATTCCAACTCCTGCCCAACACGTTGTAGCACGTCATGCGTAACATTCTCCAGCACCTCATTGATTCTCGGCTTCAGTTACTTCAGACAGGTAGGAAGAGGGAGGAATATAAACCTGTCCTTTTATATAGCCCCACAGAAAAAAAAATTACAAGGACTCAAGTCACATGAACGTGGTGGCCATTTCTACGGCACAATATCATTATCACTGGCAGACCCGATCCATTGGTAGATTCTCATTGAGATAAGTCCCCACCATCAACTTAGTTTTTACCCATTTTCTTAAATTTTGAGATCATTTTTAGCGAGAATTGGCTATGGAATATACGTATGTATATATATTATAAATTTACTTATTTACAAATATTGTTTCATCGCTACACAGGATTACCAGGTTTCAAAATGGTAATTCCTGTGTAGCGATGGCGCCATATTTTTAAATAAATAAATTTATAATATTTATGTTCTGTAGAGTTGCATGGAGCATTTTTTTTTAAAAATAAAATAATTATTAAGAACACCGGTTTATATATCTCACTGTTCTTTCTCTTCATAATATATATATATATATATATATATATATATATATATATATATATATATATATATATATATATATATAAATGAAGGGGTACTTGAATAGTCATAATTAATTCATGATTAAAATATATATGTGTGTGTCTGTTGAAGACAGACTAGCTACAAATTTACACGAATGACAAATGAAACCTAGTCTTCATTGCAACACAGACCCATCTACTCTAAACTTACTTTATTCGGTCAAGAAGAAAAGATTTTCGCATAAATGTTTGTATGGACATTTGTCCTTGTTTTTGTGCGAGAGACACCCTCCCCCAAAAAATAATTTGTTAAATTATTTTGATACAGCCGACATACATATACAACGTGACTGAAAAGTCAATCTCCATTTTAAAAGTCTTATAATTTTGTCCTATAACTTTTAAAAGAATTGCTTATGAGAGGAAAACGTTTAGCACGAGTTTTTATCTAAAATTTGATATGGGTACCAAATTTCGCTACCATCTTCACGAGCCGCACAGGAATCGCATAACTAATTATATATATATATATATATATATATATATATATATATATATATATATATATATATAAATGACGCTGGATCATCAGATAGCACTTCCAAAAATGAAATGAAACGAAAAATGAAATTAAAATAATGGGTAGTGTAAGTTTTTGTAATTTAACAGAGAGTGTAAGAGGGATAGTTAAAGAGACATGATAGAATATAGGGAGGGATTAATTTCATATCTCTCTCAAGTATACTTTGTATTGGGGGAGGAGGAGTGACCAGCCCTTGACCTATTTAAAAGGTTAACTTAACGGAAGTGATATATAGAAATGGGGGGGAGAGTAGGGAGAAAAGAAAAAGAAAAAAGGAAAAAGAGGGAGAGGGAAGTAAAGAGAAAGAGGCTATAATTGAGTCTTAGCAATTTATGTAAAGAATAGATTTTAATGCTTGATAGAAATTTAGATGTCTAAAAAAGTTTGATGTTTGCTATCAATTTAAATATTTTTTTTAAACAAATAGTTTAGGGATTTAATATAAGTTAAATACTATATTTATTAACACATTTATAGAGACAATTAAAATTATTTTTTAAATTATAACAGTTTGTTTACCCGACCATCGTACTTTTTTAATATTGTAAAAAAATAGTTACGGTAACATCTTTATTAGTTTTAATCTAATTAATTAATATATATATATATATATATATATATATATATATATATATATATATATATATATATATATATATATATCTGTGTGTGATAAAAAATAGCTTTAAGGTATGCTATAATTATGGCTTGAAGTGCTAAATATCAAGGAAAAACTCTCACTGGCTAAAAACCAAAAAATGTACAGAGAGAGGTTATCTCTTAGAACCCGGAATATGTGGAAAGAAACAATCATTAATTTTCAGAAACCCTAGTCAGAACAAGAAGACTAATTTAGATGACACAAAACACCAAATAATAAACCTATCTACATATACACTTACAAAGAACGAAATCAACCTATTGAAATTAAGCCTAAAATTTAGCCCTGCTTCGAAAAACAATATAACATACCATTTATTTTCCATTCAACATCATCACTTGATAAGACACCGGAGGTGCTGAAAAAAAGTGTCTATTTTTGTAGTGATTTTATAACATATTTATGTTATAATTTTAAATAAATAATTATATATATATATATATATATATATATATATATATATATATATATATATATATATATATTATATATATATATATATATATTTCCATATATATATATACTAATATATATATATACTTATATATGTATATATACATTCATATATGTAAAGAATTAATTTATATCTATATTAATATACAAAATAATAAATTTGTATAAATAATTATACAATTACTTGTAAATTATTACACAAATATATATAAATCATATATATGTAAATATGAGTTGCTATGTAAATATATGAAAATAAGTAAAAACTCTATATATGTGTCTAAATAAAGATAGCTATATGAATATATGTAAATAAATACAAAAATATATAAGTAGCTCTATGAATATATATGAATAATTGTAGAAAAATAGATGTGAATATTAATAACATATATATGTTTGTGTGTGTGTAGTGTGTGTGTGCTGTTTGTGTATGTATATGTGTGTGTGCACGCGTTTTGAACAATAAAAAACCAAACACACACACACATACACACATATATATATATATTACATGAATCATTCATACAAAAAATAGTGAAGTTGATGATATAAATGGTGAGAATAGATCTTTGCAAACAAATTTATTAATTTTACATTAACCCACGAACCTTTAGATAAATGTTATGATCCCTGTTTTTAATAAATTCAACTTCTCTTCTTTTGCTAGTACTTTAATACAGACATCATCAGTCATGGAAATTGA